GTGTCTTGCTTCCATGTTTTTAAGTTGCAAAGAGGTTTACAAAAAGAGAGAAAGAGTGAAAAAGTTACTCTCCAAAAGTTTCTTTTTGTTTAGTAGGATTTGCAAATGCAACCCTATGTCTCTATGTAACAACGTGTATGTAACAATTCATATGCAATAGGAATATAACGGGACATTATATGTTTGTTTCAATATATCGTCATCATAAACGCAAACGGACGTAACTACACTTTTACTAATTTTAAAGCAGAAGCAAAGCTATAATAATCTATTTTCACAGTTTAATCCCACTATGGAGCCGAATTTATTTCTTTAATTTTTTTGCTTTTTAAAGGTTTTATGTCAGTTACGTCCATTTGACTTTCCCCGAACCCTTCTTCATTTGTTTACAGTGGCCCATTTTATCGGAAATTTTCCTAAAGTCACCCCAAACATTTTCAGAAAATCGGAAAAATTCCCATCTCCGAAACTCTTTTTGCCTATATGGTCCACATATTCTGAAAGTACACTCTTAGACCTTTCGTTTGAGCCCCCCCTCAACCCCGAACCCTTCTTCATTTTTTTACAGTGGCCCATTTTATCGGAAATTTTCCTAAAGTCACCCTAAACATTTTCAGAAAATCGGAAAAATTCCCATCTCCGAAATTCTTTTTGCCTATATGGTCCACATATTCTGAAAGTACACTCTTAGACCTTTCGTTTGAGCCCCCTCTCAACCCCGAACCCTTCTTCATTTTTTTACAGTGGCCCATTTTATCGTAAATTTTCCTAAAGTCACCCTAAACATTTTCAGAAAATCGGAAAAATTCCCATCTCCTAAACTCTTTTTGCCTATATGGTCCACATATTCTGAAAGTACACTCTTAGACCTTTCGTTTGAGCCCCCTCTCAACCCCGAACCCTTCTTCATTTTTTTACAGTGGCCCATTTTATCGGAAATTTTCCTAAAGTCACCCTAAACATTTTCAGAAAATCGGAAAAATTCCCATCTCCGAAACTCTTTTTGCCTATATGGTCCACATATTCTGAAAGTACACTCTTAGACCTTTCGTTTGAGCCCCCCCTCAACCCCGAACCCTTCTTCATTTTTTACAGTGGCCCATTTTATCGGAAATTTTCCTAAAGTCACCCTAAACATTTTAAGAAAATCGGAAAAATTCCCATCTCCGAAACTCTTTTTGCCTATATGGTCCACATATTCTGAAAGTACACTCTTAGACCTTTCGTTTGAGCCCCCCCTCAACCCCGAACCCTTCTTCATTTTTTTACAGTGGCCCATTTTATCGGAAATTTTCCTAAAGTCACCCTAAACATTTTCAGAAAATCGGAAAAATTCCCATCTCCGAAATTCTTTTTGCCTATATGGTCCACATATTCTGAAAGTACACTCTTAGACCTTTCGTTTGAGCCCCCCCTCAACCCCGAACCCTTCTTCATTTTTTTACAATGGGGTATTTTATATGAAATTTGCATAAGGCCGGCCGCAATTTAGTTCTGCAAATTGGTGGCGCATTGTCAAATACGCTCACATACTGCGCACAATTCTGTTCTGCAAATTGTGGCACATTCTCAGTTACGCTCACACTTTCTCTCTCTCTCTAGATTTAGTTCTGCAATTTCGCATTCTCTCACTCTCTCTGTCTTAACCCTATGTGAACCAGCGAAAAAGTTTGGTGGTTTGTGTCTTTGCTAGTTAAATTTTAAATTTATCTTCACGGACATATTCCCACACTTATTATCAAGTCAATTTTTGAACAAAAATAAATTTTTGCACAAAAAAAGTTATCGATTTTTAAGAAAATAATCCGATAATCGATGAAGGGAGAAACACATGTTACCAATCAAAACAATTTATGGACAACAAATATCTGAAATCGAAAATAACATGTATAAAAGGGTCAGTTAGTCAATTTGGTCAGAAGGTGTATACCCTAAGCCCGTTGATCGCATATACAGTCAGTAGGAAAAGTCTGCATAAAAGCTTACATTGGAGACCAATTTAAAAAAAAAAATTGTAGCACAAAATTATATCAAAGGTCTTCCAGAAAAATCGATGATTACACTGTGTCACATAATCTGGGTCATGGTCTGGGGGTGTTCCGAAATGTTCTCTTCCACTTGATCTTTCCATCGAATTCGTGGCCTTCCCCTTCTGCGTGAACCATCAGCTGGTTCGCTTTTATATGGCTTTTAACCTGGGGCATCTTCATCCATTCTCAAAACATGACCTAGCCAACGTAGACACTGCAGCTCGATACGCCTGACTATTTCGATGTCCGAGAATAGATGGGGCAACTCATGGTTCATTCGACGACGACATTTACCGTCAACGCAGAATGACCCATAGATCTTTCGGATAATTTTTCTCTCAAACACCCCAAGAGCTGTCTCTTCTGTTTGTGTAAGTACTAATGCTTCAGATCCATTCAACAGCACGGGTGGTAGCAGCGTCTTGTAAAATGTGAGTTTGGTCTGGCGGGAGGTGGCCTTGCTTTCGAGTTGTTTGCTCAGACCATAGTAGCATCTTTTGGGCAACACTTTCCTCCTCCGAATTTCCAAACTGATGTCATTAGTTTGATGAATGGCGGTACCAAGGTACATAAAATCTTTGACTTCCTCGAAGCTGTAGTTCTCAAGTTCCACAGTTGGTCGTCTTGCGCGTTGATACCATCAGCTTGTTCTTCTCGCCATTTACTGCCAGACCCACTTTGGCAGACTCCTTCTCAATTCGATCAAAGGTGGCTGTTAACGCTCCCAATGTTCGACCCATTATGTCGATGTCATCGCCGTAGACCACTAACATGTGTTGTTTTGTGTACAGAGTGCCATTTCTGTTCACCTTTGCGTCTCGTATGACCTTTTCCAGCAGGATGTTAAAAAGAACACACGACAAACTGTCACCTTGTCTGAATCCTCGTTCGGTATTGAAGGGCTCCGATAGGTGCTTTCCGACTTTAACTGCTGACCTTGTGCCACTTAAAGTTATTCTGCATAGCCGTGTTAATTTTGCAGGAATGCGGAACGCAGACATGGCTTTAAATACCTCTGAACGGATAGGGCTGTTGAATGTGGCTTTATAGTCGACGAATAGGTGATATGTGTCGATGTGTTTTTCGAGGGTCTTTACCAGGATTTTGCGCTATGGTGGATTTGCCAGGTCTGAAACCGCATTGGTATGGTCCAATAACCATTGGCTTCAGTCGTTCACACAGCACACTGGATAGAACTTTATATGCGATGGGAAGGAGACTTATTCCTCTATACTTGGCACATATCGTCTCGCCTCCTTTTTTATGCACGGGACACAGGATGCTGAGGTTCCAATCATTGGTCATGCATTCCTCTAGCCAATAATCAGCATTTGACCGGTCAGGAGCATGCACCAGCTGATGCACCAGTCTTGAATAGTTCGGCTGGTAACCCATAGTTACCTGCTACTTTATTATTCTTCAGCCGCTTGATTGCTACTCTGACCTCATATCGGCTAGCCTTCGGTTTGGTGTTTTACTCGTTGGTAAAATTTTCGGACTTCACTCTGACTCCTGTACATCCCGTTTTGCTCACGCTCACGTTTTTCTTGTTCTTTCTTCTTTTTCTGAAAATACGTTTCTCCTCTCTCCCTTTCTCCCGATAATTCTCCATCACATTACGAGTTGCTACTCTCTGCAGGGTTGCCCTTCGCCTCAGTAGCATTACGACACCCTTGATCGTACCACGGGTTTCTTTATGGTGGTTTTGGTACCCAAGTATTGCTTTTGCTGGAGAATTCATTGCCATTATGCTTCTATAATATTATCGGGACAACAAGTGCTTTCGTCAAGCAGGTGGGTAAGTTGAGCGGAGATGTGCAAAGTTTGAATAAAATCGGTCAATCCCTTCGAAAGTTACCGTGCCAATGTAAATCGACTTCAAATTATCTAAAAGAGATTTGGTGCAAAAAAAATATTGGTCGACGGTCGATAGAAGCACAGATACGATTTCAACTTAATTGGCTCTATTTAGACATTTTTGGTTCTTATTGTCCCCATAAATATTAAGAAGACCGTATCATAAGCGGGCACTGGTCACGTGGAAACAAACTGACCTCTTATGATACTACAGATTTCTATTATCGTATTACATCTTTGTCCCAAAAAAAATCCAATTTATCGTATATACAACTGTTTAAATATATTTTGGATCCTAACCCAAGCTAAAAATTTACATTAAACTTTAAAATATATAACAACAATAGAACTCCCTTCCGTATTTTTTTAACATTCCACAACACTCAGCTATTTGGCAAACCAAGGTCAGAAAAACGCTCTCATTGTTATTACTATTATTATTGTTTCTGTTTTTCTTTTAGTATTTTTAAAAAAGATTTATGATGATTACTAATTTATTCCTATTTTACTGAAAAAGAATATTCCACATAAATTGTTATTGATTCCACGTTTATATTTCTCTCTCTCTCTTCTCTTCTTCTCGTTACAGCCTCTACAATAAAACAAAAATAGTTCACATTCTACGTCCAAATGCCAACTAACTGATGAAATTATTTCCAACTAGATAAGAGGAACAACGATCAACAGCTATGACAGTGACTTGATAACGACGACGACGTGATACATGAGAACAACAAAATGATTTAACAAAAATATTTAAGAAAATATAAAAAAGTTACCCCGCTGCTACAGAAATACTCGCAATTATTTCCAGGCATTATAATTAGTACCTCTATTTACAAAATAAATACAGTTACAACAACAAAGTGAATAACCCAAAAAGTGAAACAAACAAAAAAAATTAAAAAGTTTAGATACCTATCGATGTAGTATCTGCTGTTCGGCTATGTGATACAAACAAAATTTACAATAATTAAAAGCTACAAATAGTGTTACCTAAATACATACATACATAGTTGTTATATGTACATACATAGATATATAATAAATAATTTATATAGAATATCTAAACAATTTTTATACAATATAGAAGCTATTAATTTAAATTATTACAAATAATATAAACATCCACAACAATGACAGTTACCTATACCGGTGAGGTTGCCACATGCCGCGGATTTGGCTGTTTTCTCAAATTGCTACTCAGGTGAGTTGGATTTTTGGATAAATACTCTCGATAAATTTTTAAGACTGGGTCTTTCCGGTACCCTGTCTATAGAAAAACCCAATCTTCATTCTAAAAAAGGCCATATTCATTCTACGGAAGATACAGGTCGAAGTGAGAGACCAGTACTCTTTTTGTATAAAAAAGTGTCCATATTTGTTCTACATGTGACCCAGGACACAACCCTTATTTGGCTTTGGAAAAAAATTATTGCTTTAAAAAACCACACCTCCTGGGCTTTGGAAAAAATTATTGCTTTAAAAAACCACGCCTCTTGGGCTTTGGAAAAAATTATTGCTTTAAAAAACCACACCTCCTGGGCTTTGGAAAAAATTATTGCTTTAAAAAACCACGCCTCTTGGGCTTTGGAAAAAATTATTGCTTTAAAAAACCACGCCTCTTGGGCTTTGGAAAAAATGATTCCTTTAAAAAACCACGCCTCTTGGGCTTTGGAAAAAATTATTCCTTTAAAAATCTACGCCTCTTGGGCTTTGGAAAAAATATTCCTTTAAAAATCTATGCCTCTTGGGCTTTGGAAAAAATTATTGCTTTTTAAAAAACCACGCCTCTTTCGAAAAAATGATTCATTTAAGCCTCTTGGAATTTCGAAAAAATGATTCCTTTAAAAAAAATCGCGCTTCTTGGAACTTCGTAAAAATTATTCCTTTAAAAATCCACGCCTATTGATGTTCGAAAATCTGATTCATTTAAAAACCCACGCCTATTGATGTTTGAAAATCTGATTCCTTTAAAAATCCACGCCTATTGATATTCGAAAATCTGATTTCTTTAAAAATCCACGCCTCTTGATGTTCGAAAATCTGATTCCTTTAAAAATCCACGCCTACTGATGTTCGAAAATCAGTTTCCTTTAAAAATCCACGCCTACTGATGTTCGAAAATCTGATTCCTTTAAAAATCCTCGCCTACTGATGTTCGAAAATCTGATTCCTTTAAAAATCCACGCCTATTGATGTTCGAAAATCTGATTCCTTTAAAAATCCACACCTATTGATGTTCGAAAATCTGATTCCTTTAAAAATCCACGCCTATTGATATTCGAAAATCTGATTCTTTTAAAAATCCACGCCTCTTGATGTTCGAAAAAGTGATTCCTTTAAAAATCCAAGCCTATTGATATTCGAAAATCTGATTCTTTTAAAAATCCACGCCTCTTGATGTTCGAAAAAGTGATTCCTTTAAAAATCCAAGCCTATTGATGTTCGAAAAACTGGTTCCTTTAAAAATCCACCCCTATTGATGTTCGAAAAAATATTCCTTTAAAAAATTCACAAATTGATGTTCGAAAAAAATGGTTCCTTTAGAAATCCACGCCTACTGATGTTCGAAAAAATTATTCCTTTAAAAATCCACACCAATTGAAGTTCGAAAAAATATTGCGTTTGAAAATCAATGCCTTATGTTCGAAAATATATTTTTTTACTTATTGGTCATTTAAAAATACCCATTGAAATTCCATGTAAAAATAAAATGACGAATCAATTTTTCCTGCCAATAATAAACATTCCATTCTGATAAAAATTCCTTATTTGTCTGACATTTCTGGAAAAAATGTAAAAAACAGATGAGTAGTATTTTGGAAGAATAGTAAAGATAAGGTATCTTAACCTTCAAAAATATGGACTAATAAAGAATGAGGTAATCTTAATTCGTTTTATTTCCAAAATTCTGGCCCTGTCAATCTTAGTCATATTTATTTATTTCAATATTTTGGGACGTCAATCACCTAACCAGGTCATAAGTGCGTTTTATTTTTCCTTCGCGCTCCTGAGTTTTGTTTTTAGGCGTCTGAAAGTCTTTTTACGATTATTTTTCAATTCGACGGATTGATAAGCAGTTATTTTTTTTCGATCGAAAATTTGACCAATAAAGTTTAATTTTTGAAACTAAAACAATTAACCAAAATATTTCTGGTGTTAACTTATCTTGCCAATGAATACAAATACCAATTTTTGGACAAATAAATGACAGTGATTGCGGACTCTAAAAATATGATACTCAAAAATATGAAATCATATCGGGCATCAAAACAATTGAAAATTTGAAACCCGTGGTCATGTTATCGCTGTTTTTGTTATTTTTATTCAAATCAAAATGGCAATGCAATCGAAATTGTTAACATTAAATTGCCCGCCAATAACTTTTGTACAATGTATATGGGAAAGTTATAGAACTTTTATGGTTATGCTATAGTGGGTGGGGAGCAGGGTGTGATATGGAAAATATAGCGTGAAACACGATCAATGCTGACGTAAACATTTTAGTCCAAATAATTATTATTGCATTGAGTTTTTGTTAGAAATCAGATAAAATGCAGTACGAACTTCATACGATAGATGACCAAGTCAAATACCCGTGGCGTGGGTATGACCAAGCTACCATAGGTGTGGATTTTTAAAAAAGCTACCATAGGCGTGGATTTTTAAAGAAGCTACCATAGGCGTGGATTTTTAAAGAAGCTACCATAGGCGTGGATTTTTAAAGAAGCTACCATATGCATGGATTTTCTAATGAAGCTACCATATACGTGGATTTTCTAATGAAGCTATAATAGGCGTGGATTTTTAAAGAAGCTAACATAGGCGTGTTTTTTTTAAAGAAGCTACCATAGGCGTGGATTTTTAAAGAAGCTACCATATGCGTGGATTTTTTAAAGAAGCTACCATCATCCGCTTCAGTAGGCGTGGATTTTTAAAGGATTTTTTGCCAAAGCATAAGAGGCGTGGATTTTTAAAGGATTTTTTGCCAAAGCATAAGAGGCGTGGATTTTTAAAGGATTTTTTGCCAAAGCATAAGAGGCGTGGATTTTTAAAGGAATACATTTTTCGAACATCAATAGGCGTGGATTTTTAAAGGAATACATTTTTCGAACATCAATAGGCGTGGATTTTTAAAGGAATACATTTTTCGAACATCAATAGGCGTGGATTTTTAAAAGAATATTTTTTCCAAAGCCCAAGAGGCGTAGATTTTTAAAGGAATATTTTTTTCCAAAGCCCAAGAGGCGTAGATTTTTAAAGGAATCATTTTTTCCAAAGCCCAAGAGGCGTAGATTTTTAAAGGAATATTTTTTTGCAAAGCCCAAGAGGCGTGGATTTTTAAAGGAATATTTTTTTTCAAAAATCTGCGTTTTTATGAAATATTTTTTTAGCCTTGAAGCTGCTTACTTGTTTGACTGTAGAGTATTTTACCCACCTTTATCCGGATATTAGCCGAAAATTACTTTTTGAACACTTGTTGCTTGCGATAGTTATAGACACACACCCTTTATTTGACTTACGTATTTGAAATGTAAATAAAATTTTTGATTTTGTTGTAGTTGAAAATTTTGAAATGTTTTGATATGAACCATATGCTACTGCGGTTCTCAGGAAAGTCGTTTTTCCTCACATTGAGTGAAATGGAAGGTTGGATAGAATTTAAACAATTTTTTTTTTTTGTTCTGATAACTAAAATTCCAAACTTACACATGTACACATTACATGATTCGTGATAAGTTCTAAAATGCCAAGTATAATTAATTACATATTAATACTACATTTATTTCTATTTTTTTTATTTAAAGTTCGTGTCATTTTTTAAAAACCCCTCTTCGTGTTTAACTATTGGTATTGTAGTTGTCGTTTGTTTGTCTGTGTGTTTTTGTAGCTGCGTTCGGAATTATTGATTTATTGACACGGTTTTACAGGGAATTTATGAAGTTTTTCGCACATCAGACAACACCCATATTTTTTAAAATTATTAGCTTATATAGCATATGTAAAGGATCGAATGACAGTGGGAAAATAAATTAAATTATTTTTTATAGGAAAATAATAAGGGAAAGGGAAATAGGAAAGGGTATTTTGAAATCATTCAGTACTATTATGTGAAGGCTTACAAAATTTAATTATTTTGTGAAATAAGAATCAGAATATTTTAAAAATCGTTGAAATTGAATTTCCTTGTTAATCTCTTAATGAAATATTATCTCCTTCTCTTGTATACATCCCAATTTATCTTAAGAAACCACTATGACGTCATTGACATCTCAAAGAGTGTAGGGAAGAGACGTTGCTTTTGTTGTTGTGACTAAATGGTTGATTATTGTATTTTTTCATCTACTGAAAATTATTTCTTTGTTTCTGATTGTAGCCATTGAAGGTTTTAATATATGTATATGTATATATATATATGTCTTTGTCCATTGTTTGTTTTGTGGGACTATTTCTTGTTTGTGATGAATCATTAGATTCCTTATATGTACAAACGTGTATATGGCAGTCATGGTTAGTTTAAGCTTAGACATTTGTGAAAAGGTTTAGGGTTTGAGTATATCTTTTAAAAAATCGATACAAAAAAATAGTATATCATAAATATCTCCAGACACCCAGACAAATCTAGAACTTATTTATATTTACATAACATATTTGAGTAATATTTCAGGCATGTAACACATTTTATCCAGTATTCTTTCCAAACATACCTTAAGGGAACCCCCCCATTCTCGGGGTCAAAAATTTTCTTGATATAATTCGAATCTACACTAATTAAAGAATGTCCCTACAAATTTTCAAATAAAAACCCTCAAGAACTCTTGAAGATATAGCCGATTTATTGTGTCAGCATCAAGTGACGGCTGAAGGGCTTCTCAAACTTTAAACGCGTTTTTCTCTAAACATTTTTTTTGCGAATGGCGGGCACGATAACTCAAAAACTAATAATCCAATCGGTTCCAAATTTTGCAACGTTTCTCTGGGAATGTATAGCTATCGTATGAACTTTGAACTTTTTAACTTTGGTTTTGGTAAAAAATTTGCGATTTTCCAAAAATATTTGTTCAAAGGTCCGCCATTTTGTTAATATTAGAGCGAAGTCAATAATCCTAGTTCATACGAGAGCCAGACATGTACTCTTTCTAACACCGTTGGAATTTTCGGATTCCGATGTTCCAGTGAGGAGTTATCATGCCCGCCATAAAA